ACGTCCCTCAAAAAACACTTTTCAACCATAAAGATTAATTCACCTAGTATCAGTAAAATATTTAACAGTTGCTAGTGTATGATTAGTCTCTAGAAAAGGAGAAACTTTTTTTTAAATTAGGATGAATAATATTTTAATGCAGTAGTAAAATATTTAAATGAACATAAAATCTCGGACAAATGAAATACCCAGACTTTAAGATATTACTGATTTTTCCTCTTGCCTCAGGTGTCAAGATGGCTCTGCATAACACTGTTATTTAGAATTTTAAATTCAAATTTGTCTAAAATATTCTTTTTTAACCATATTAACATATTTTTTTTAAATTTAAATTCAGTTAATTAACAGAGTTTATTATTAGTTTCAGGGGTAGAGTTCAGTGATTCATCAGTCTTAGATATTTCCCAGTGCTCATTACATCACGTGCCCTCCTTAATGTCCATCACCCAGTTATCCCATCCCTCCCACCCCCTCCCCAAGGAGGAGCGTCCCTATGTGTTGTGTACTTAGCAAAAAATCTGAATGCACTTGATTTAGGAAGATGCCCATAGCTAAGGAGGATGTGGGACTGATGAACATGGGTGAGAGCCAGTGAATTGATGGGATTTATTAACCTAGCTGAGAAGTGGTTCTTGGTCATCCTAAACTTCCTAAACTCTGAAGGACAGGACAGCAGTACGTATTGCGTGTGCATTGGTAAAGAGGAGTTACGTGACCCTCCCTCTCCTTGTTGAATACAGTTCTGTTTCAGTTCTATAACTGGTGGTGCTTACAGCCAGTTCAGAGCAGCATGGCCTGTATGTAAGCCGCTTGGGGGGTGCAGGGAGATGGACTCACATAGGTGTGATTTTAAAAATCACAGCAGTGTCAGGATTTAGGCTTTTCTTTTCCCTTGTGGTCAATACTGACTTGGTGAAGACGGGAGTCCAAAAATCCAGTCCGCCCTGCCCTCTTGTGGCCATTCGATGCATAGCTCTTTCCTCATCTGAAACCCTGACATTAAAGATGGAGATGAGCATTCTTTGGTCCTGGACTAGTCCTTGGTTTGGGGTTTTGGGGTTTTTTTTTTTTCCCAATTTTGCAAAAAATTAAAAAAAATTTTTTTTTAAAATTTCTGAATAATACTGTTTTTATATTCTAGTCCCCTGGTAGTTCCAGGGGAACATTTTATAGCTAGAAAGTTTCTAGATAGTTAAGCATTAATTTTCTCCCCTTTCACAGTGTTAATTTAGTGAAGAATTAAATGCTAATTTTTTCATTTAAATTATAGATTTTCATTTGCTCAGTTAAATCCTAATGCCCACTGCTAAGAAGATATGTCTGATTTTGGTCTCAATTCAACAAAATTGCATTAAATCTTTGCATAAACATTAAGGCAAGATACCACTTTGATTCTGAGTAGTGCTAGTCAGTTCCTTTAGTACTACTGGACTGTGACACACCCAAGTGGGTGGTGGTTGTTTAATTAAAACCAACATGTGATGGTTTAGTGTATTTCTTATACTGGTGTATTTATAATTTATCTTTAGGCAATGTCTATGTCACATAAAATATTCCTTGAAACTTTTTTTTCCTCAACTTTATAACATTCCTAACTTTGTCTAAACCTCAGGTAGTGACCAATTTTGTGATTGCGATGGGTTAGCTCCCAAACTAAATTGTTCCCCACTTTTTTTAACCCTCTCAAAGCCAAAAAGCACATGACTCAGCAGCCAGGCAAATTGGTCCCCAGGAAATGCTTTTACACTAGTGGGAGGGGCCAAATGGCATCACAGCAAACAGATGACAAGAGCAGGAGAGGTGAAGGGTGACAAAGGGAATCGTATACTGGAACAGTGAGTGGCTAGAAATGAGAAGCTTCAGAAAACACATCTAAAGAAGAGGGGGAAGTAGGCTACTTGATTCCAGAGGTGATGTCTAGTGTCCTATATTCTTGGAAGGAACAGAACATTGAAGGCATCAGAGAAGGAGAGGGAGAAAGGAATAAATCAGAATCTGACCTATGTTACACGTTTGTTTGTTTCAGTACTCGTTGAATGAAAGGAAGCTGCTGGAACTGAGGACAGAAATGGTGGCATTGGTAAGAAATGAGACTACTTTTCTTGGTCATTGTGTTCATCTTGGCTTCATCCCATGCGTGCATACTGTCCTTTGTAATGATGTGTTAATGGGAGGGGACACTCAAGTTTTGTGTCCTAGGGTGTTTGTTTTTTTTTGTTGTGGTAAACTACACGTAAAATTACCAGTTGAACCATTTTTAAGTGAACAGTTCAGTGGCATTAAGTACATTCACATCCTTGTACAACCATCACTGGCGTCCATCCGCAGGACTCCTTACATCTTGTAGACCTGAAACTACCTGTCACACGCTCACTCCCATTCCTTCTCCCCCAGCCCCCAGGTGCTGCCATTCTGCTTTCTGTCTCTGTGAATGTGCCTGCTCTAGGGACCTCATAGAAGTGGCCTCATATCGAATTTGTCCTGTGACTGGCTTCTTGCACTCAGCTTAATGTCCTTAAGGTTCATACATGCTGTAGCCTGTCAGAAGTTCCCTCCTTGGAATTCTTAATCGCAGGAAACAAACTGAGGGTTGCTGGAGTGGGGGGTGGGGTGGGAGGGATGGGGTGACTGGGTGATAGACAGGGGGGAGGGTATGTGCTCTGGTAAGCGCTGTGAATTGTGCAAGACTGTTGAATCTCAGATCT